TATAGCACATTTGATGTAATTTGAGACATCAGTTGAAGTTGGAAATTTGTTAGTAATAACATTTTATGGATTAAACCTAGCCTTCAGAAAAAATCATTACCAAGGATGAGAGAGTCATCCTAACGTAAGTTATAGAATTGAGTGACTAAAAATTTTGGTTGCTAGAAATAAAAGAGGTTATTTCAAAGCATTGAATCACATTTCTACAATATGGATGGCTTCATTTCTTGTTGCCTACTAGAAGTTTGATGTGATTTTTGAATATTTGATACAGGTGGAAGACTTCCAGTGACTTGGTATCCAGAGACATTCACCAAGGTGCCCATGAATGACATGAACATGCGAGCTGACCCTGCTCATGGTTATCCTGGGAGGACCTATAGATTTTATGAAGGGAACCAAGTGTATGGCTTTGGACAAGGCCTAAGCTATACCATTTTCATTGACAAGTTTTCATCAGCGCCAAGCAAATTAAGTGTAGCAGGGTCCTTTGCAGCTGCTTATAGTCCAAACATACTGCGTCAAAACCAAGAAAGGTTTGGATATCTCCATATTGATGGGGTAAAGTCTTGTGATTCATTGAGATTCTATGTACATATTTCGATGGAAAATGTTGGAGATATGGATGGAAGTCATGTGGTCATGTTATTCTCTTCCTCACCAAAACTTTTCAAAGGCATTCCACGTAAACAGCTGATTGGATTTGATCGCGTGCATACCATTTCTCATCAATCAACCAAAACAAGCATTTTAGTCAATCCTTGTGAACATCTCAGTATTGCAGATGAGAATGGTAAAAGAATATTGCCCTTGGGCAATCATGTTCTGTTGCTAGGAGAAGTCAAACATTCTGTGTCCATTGTAGCTTATTAATGTCACTGAGGCTGATTCAAACACAAATCTGTATATGATTTTGCATCAATAATGGATTGCAAATTGTTGAGTGGCATATGTTACATGATTATAGCTTGTGTTCATATTTCTTACATAAGATCATGCTCTTGTCATCTAGTGATTGAACAGACGTGTCACCGGCTTTCCTCGTCTTTTTATCAACACGAGTAGTTGTCCTTAAGGTTCTGTTGTAACCGTAACTCAAGATTGGGGAAAAATCAAGGTTGGAGAAAAATCATGGTCATGTGATTTCATAGAAATTATCTGCAGTTTTAAATTTAAATTATAGATAGGATTTGTTAAATGAGGATTTGGAAAGATCTCTAAGCAGGGTTTAAAAAGACCTCAGGGAATAGTAAAAGGAAACAGGGACTGGATCTCTAATTCTGTGTCTTCTTCCATTAATGAAATCCTAGTAACTCCAATTGATTGGGTCCTTTAAATTATTTTTCTGTGTTAATATTTGGCATCCATCGTGGGGCTGATTATCCCTCACGATGAACCATTACAATTAAGTAATGGCCAACAATCGATGAAATCGTTATGGTGCAAATTCCACTACAACCCCATCTTTGTCTTAACGAACTTCTACTCAGCGACCCTCGAGATTAGGTCCCTTTAGGCTTAGAAGTACAGTAGAGGATCAAATTCAACACCTCACCCATAATATGGTGCAAATGGAGAGAAGTGTACATGCAATTAAGCAAGCGGTGACACTTCTAATGGAAAACCATGGCCAATTATGTTTGCCACCGGTTTGTGCACGTCAAGCTCGTGTACCACCAAGGAGATATTCTCCATCACAAATGTTCAAAAATCAATGACGCACCCCCCAATCACAGGATCTTTTGTTCCCCCTGGGGCAAAGAGAAAGTTCAAATGTGGAAACGTAGGAGAACGATCCCACTATACAATGGTCGACAAGTGCAGACAATGTTAACACTCTCAAACCAACCTCGGCTTTTTCAGTCCCACATTGGAACTTCCGTCCTCGCAGGTTGGCACATGTATCACACACTTGGACCTAAGGCTCTATGAGTGCAAATACTCTTGAGTCAGCAAGCAGTGTCCAAGCTCGGCGTCACTCTAAGGGTGATGAACCTACATAGGCCAGTTCGGAGGATAAAATAGTGACAGCTAACCACAAGGCGCAATTAAGTTACACACGAGACTCCTTTCAAGAGTGAAATGAGACTCTATAAAAGGACATGGAAACTTTACGCCAATAGATGGCAAAGTTGTGCACGACACAGCAATAGGCAACAGATGCTCCACAAATAGCCTCGATAGGTGATCCATTCTCTTATGAGATAATTAAAGAACCCATGCCTCCATCATTCAAGCCACCTTAGTTGATATGGTATGATGGAACATAAGACCTGGTAGAGCATATGTGGAGTTACAAGCTAGCAATGATGATTTATGGAGCGTCTGATGCATTATTGTGTAGAGTGTTCCCTTCTATACTGAAGAAAGCAACTCAAACCTGGTACTTTAAGTTAAAAGCTAAGTCTATTAACTCTTTTGAGTAATTAGAAAGATGTTTTATTGAGCATTTATTGCCCGTAAAGTCCCAAAGAAGACTAACCACCATCTAATGAGTATCAAGTAGAAGACTGATGAAAGTTTAAGAGCCTACATTGCTTGTTTCCATAATGAATCTTTGTAGGTGGATAATCTGGATGAAGGGGTGGCAATACATGCCTTGATGAATGGCTCGAAAGATTGTGATTTCTTGCATTCTCTAAACAAAGAAGAACCAAAGAGCCTTAAAGACATACTTAATAGGTCAGAAGGCTATATTCAAGCTGAAGAGAGTGTCACAACCAAGAAAGGTGGTGAGTTTCTCGAACCTAACTCAATTGTAGCAGGAAATAAAAAGTGAAGGTTTGACGAGTTAAATGACAGCTGATGTCAGAGGAGGAAAGCGAGGAATTGGCAGAAATCTCAAGAATTATCACTCTACATTGTAAGAGGCACCAAAGGTGTATACCAAATTCACACCTTTAAACACTTCAATGGCGCATATACTTACAGTGGCGAAGGAGACAGAACACCTCAATTGGCTTGAAAAGCTTCATAATAATGGTAACAAACGTGATAGGACTCGTCATTGTGCATTCCATGGGACCCATGGTCATGATACAAAGGATTATAAGCAGCTTAGAATGGAAATTGAACGATTAATTCATAAGGGAGCATTGAGGCAATTTATAAGGCTTCCGAAAACTCAGAGGGGAGCAAGGAGAATGGAAAGGTCGCAAGACAATAGGGAAGTTGGTAGACATAAAGAGAAGGAACCTCTGGATGTTGTGGGCGTAATTAATGTTATAACAGTCCCGCCTTCAGCAACTCCAGCATCTATGGCTTTAGTGGTCAAAGGAAACCATGAAAGCCAACCTTCAACTTAAACCATCACTTTCACTAGGAAGGATTTGGATCAAAGAGAGGTGTTCCTACATGATCCACTAATGATTGAAATAGTGGTGGAAGATAAAAGTCTACGAAAAGGCAAGGTAATGAAGTGTGTTTTGGGGGACACAAGGAGTTGCAGAGATGTGATGTGTTATGGAGCATTTAAAAAGCTAGGAGTATTTCCACAACTGATGAGACCTTGTGATTTTTCGTTGGTAGGCCTTTCTGGGAAATCTGTGCTTATAATAGTGGTGGTTTCCACACAAGCAATGATGATAAAGTTCCTTACACCGAATGGGGTTGAAATGGCAAGAGGGAAGCCTGTTGAAGTATTGGAGCTAACACCACAAGCTCGAGATCAAGTGCAAACATTAGAACCTAACAAAGTGATTAAGAAAAAGTACAAGTCAAAACATTGGGATCTGGTGGCTCTTGGAGATATTGTCAAAGAAAAAACTTTGATAGTAGATAGCCTAGACATGAGGGAGGAATTGAAGGAATGTCGGACTGAGCCAATTGATGAACTAAAACCTGTGATTCTTGATCAGAGGAAGCCAGAGCGTACAGACAACATTGGTGTAGACATGGATACAAGCTTTATGGCACGATTGGAAAATTGCTTAATGGAGCATAAAGACATTTTTGCATGGTGTCTGGCAGATATGCCAGGTATCGATCCGGAGGTTGTATGCCATAGGCTTGAAGTTAACCCGGATGTTGTTCCTATTAGACAAAAAGTGCGACAACTTAGGGCTGAAAGGAGTGCGACAACATTGGTGTAGACATCCTTGTTTTCAAAATGGGAATTAGACTGTTTTACTCTTTTCTCATGATGATTTATTAAAATAATGTAGTTTTGAAACCCTTTTTGCCTAATTTTTTTACCTATTGATTGATAAATATTAATATCACACAGACACACGCATATATGATCAAGGATAGTGCATATCAATCATAACTCCTAAAAAAAAAAATTAAAGTTTCAAGATTAAATAACATTGTTTCAGTTAATTCAAAAATTCATCTTATTAAATGTTAATTTCTGTATTTGAAAATTGAAAACCCCAATCAAAATTTAAAAATCAACTATATTAAATGTTAATACATGGACTTAGAAACTAATTATATTAAAATATATAATAATTTTCAAATACAAATATTAATATGTAATAAAAGTAAAATTTTAAATTTTAATTAAATAAAACAAATATATATATAGTTGTCAAGCATTACATCATACCCACTCATTCAAAGTAAAAGTAAAAAATAAATAAATACGTTCTCCCTTTCCTGAGCCTCCTCTACAACCACCACCTTCGACTAGGACTGATTCCCGCATACTACATACGGCATCCTCAGAAGTAGCGAGCCCAATAAATATGGCTTCCAAAATATTGGGAATCTGCTATCTGCATAGTGAAAACAAAATCTTCATCTTAAAGGAAGGAAATGAAAAGTTGTGATGATTGACCGGTTAACGAATTAAAGAGGCTCACTTTTAATTTTAAGGGAGGAAATTAAAATTCGTTTTTCCTCTTTCTTATAGGCGACTTTTGCACTACTTTTCTTGAGTCTTTGTATATAATAATAATAATAATAATAATTATAATAATAAAACACAGCAAACATAAATTAAATACTGGTATTATTCGTAGCTAGCTGCAACCAGTCCTGCGGGGGGCAAACCATGAGCATCTCTTCCCCAACCAACAAAATTAAAAAAAAAACCATGAGCGTCAGCTAGAAGAAAAATAACAGCCATAGGAATATGTTTGATCTTGTATTACCACATCCATGTGTTTTTTCTTAATATATAAATTCTTAGCATTCGAAAGTTATATTAAATTTTAATTAATTTAAAATTTAATTGCGTTAGATCCATAATAAAGAATCTCTTCCAACGCCTATCTCTTTATTTACAGTATTTAAATATGAAATCTTACTTAAAAAATAAACTCTTTTTACTCATATCAATGGGTCATTAGTCCCAAATTTATGTTTTTATGTTTTTATTTTTTTATTGTTCTGTTCTATTTAAAGTATCGCTTTAATTAAGATTGACTCTTTTTTTCTATTCTAAACCCCCTCCTTGTGGTTTTTGAATTCCAAACCTCAACCCGCCAACTTAACCACGGTATTTTTGTGTGTAAAATGAATTAGATTTGTAAATAAATTTATAAGTAGATTCTTATATTTTAAAAATTTTCTGTATTTAGTTTAAATAAAAATAAAATTTATTTCATTTTAGATAATAAATTTGTTGAAGAATCAATTTAAAAAGGAAGAGTGTTAAGGGTTGTTTGGTTGATGGTAATGGTTATTCCTTAATTAAACTATAAAAACATAATAAAATTGAGAAACATGCATAGGAAGCTAGGAATAGGTAAGCTTTAATGGCTAGTTTTCCTCTTATATTAGCAAGTAATTAAGGAATACATATTCCTCATTCATAGGTTATGTTTGATTGGTGGTAGCAACTATTCATTTGTCAAACTATTAAAATAAATTAAATTTAATAAACTTCCCTAAAAAGTTAGAATAATTAAACCTTAATGATAATATTTTCTCACTAAACTAAATAATGAATGAGAATATGTATTCCTTCCATTTTTAAGGAATATATATTCCTTAGTTACTTACTAATATAAAAGTAAAAATAAGGCTTAACTATTCTTACAAAGAGGATAAATGGACCTGGTTGTGGGAGAAGGATGGAAGATGCTTAGTGAGGTTTGCCTACAACTTATTGACACATCACTTTGGGCAAGACATCATGTACCTTAGAATTGAAGAAGTGCTAGAATCCTTTGGTTCCTAAGAAGGTTTGCACTTTTATGTAGTAGGCCTTACATAAACGAATCCCAACCAAAGACAACCTGTTAACTAGAGTGATATTGAAGGATGACTCTTAGGCAATTTTCAATCTATGTGGCTCCTATATCGAGAAAGTGGATCATTTGTTACTAAATTGCATAGATGCTTGGAGACTATGGACAAAATGCTTCAGATGGTGAGGTCTATCCTATGTCATGCATTGAAACTTAGAGGAGGCTTTTTAGCAACAAATTTGGATCAACAAAATAAAGAAAGGTAGCAGGGTGTGGAGGCTATATGGTTTGTTGTTGTATGGACCATATGACTATACAGAAATGAACATATATTCAACGGTATCAATGTTGAGAGGAGAAATTATTTACATTGGTGCAAACTCATTCTTATCACTAGATAAATGGAAAATCTAGGCAAGGAGAATTCAACTTTGCAAATTAGGTCACCAACTTACAGGAGTGTTCAAGACTTGTATAGAAAAGTAAAGCAAAAGAGATGATGAGAGGATAGAACACTTCAAGGGAGGTTATGCTTGCTGGTAATGTGTTCACTGATATGAAATGTCTCAATATTTTTAATTTGTAAGGACACTATATGGAAATGTATAGCAGTGCCCATTGTACTTTAATAATAAAAAATTTTATTTGTTTAAGGTGTGTTTGGCTTGAGGGAAATATGTGAGTGGAGAGGGAGAGATGAATTTTTTAACTAATTAATAGATGAGTTGGGAGGGAAGGGATGGATTTTTTAACTAATTATATTGCATTATTCAAAAATATTGTAATTTGATTGATTAAAATACTCATTCCTTCCCTTCTTTTGCTTCATTTCTCTCAAACCAAACATATTGTTAGCCAAACCAAGCACAAGAACTAGTGAATTGCAAATAAATTTTACAAATTTTTAATCAAACTAAACACAAGAGTGTGAAATTCAAATTATAAAATTAAAATAAAAACATTTCATTCAAACCAAATACAATGATATTGTGGATTTTAAAAAATTATATTCTGCATATTTTTGGAATTCATTTTAAAAATTTACATGTTTTTAAAATTCAATTAATTAAGAACTTGATATTGAGATTTTAAATTCAAAATTTGAATCGGATGAGAAGAAGTTTTAATAATTCATACTCTAATATATCAAAAAAAATCAATTAAAAAGAAATTTTAATAACTCATCATCTAATATATTAAAAAAAAAAAGAAAAAAAGAAAAAACTCTCTAGCTAGCCTGATTAGACTCCAAAAGCCTCCATTTATATTTTACCAATATGTAACGATAACCATTGTTTGAGGAGTTTTTTCTTTATAATGCATACTAGCTACCGTTTAGCGGCTTTCCTTCGACCACCATTTGTGCAATTTGCAAACACCTAAAGCTAATTGCCCTACTAAACGATCTATAGATGTACATATTTTTTCTCATCGATGGCATTAAACCCAAATAAACTACACTAAGGAAAAACCAAGGCGTAGCTCAAGTAGTGATGGCAATCAGATCCCATATGGGGTTAGAAAGTACCTCTTCATTCTTGTTCCCACAATTATCTTGATTAGGATTTTTGTAAGGGGCAAATTTTGCCCTGAGCTTGTTAGCTGAATAGATTTCTCACCTCTGTCAATCTATATTACAATATTAATTTAATTATTTTTATTTTTTAAAAATGTTTTAAAGAGTTGTGTTAAGGCCAAAAAAAATATTGGGTTGAGTTTCATTCAAAGTAATTGGATTTTAGTATTGAGCTAAAACTGAAAATGAGTATTAGATATGATCTATAAGTATGAGTTAAATATTTAAATTGGATTAGATTCAATAATTTTTTTTAATTTTGGTTAAATGTTAAATTTGGTCTCTCAACTTTAAGAAATGAACATTTTTGATCCCTTAACTACAAGAAATGCATTCCGTTAGTCCTTCTGTTAATTTGAGCCGTTAACTTCGCTTATGTGGCATTTTTTATATTTTTTTTGATGATGTGGAGAGCAAAGTGATGATGTGGAGAGCAAAGTGATGATATGGACAAACATTTTGATATTTCATATTACCGTGTGCCAAATCATATT